ACTAAAATAAGATAAAATGTCTAAAAGTTTCTTTATTTTTCTTTTGTATAAATCTGTTTTTGCAGTGTATAAATAATACCATAGACTCTGAGCTCGCGATCAAAATAGAAATATTCATATTTGTGGCTCAAAATGTTATTTTACCTTCAAAAATATAATAATTATTTAAATAACAAAACTGTTATTATTAGTCTGGGAGGATCAGTTGCCTAATCCATCTTGTATCATAGATTAAGAACATCCTGTATGCAGGTATACTGTTATGACCTTCTTCAGCACCTCTCTCTTTATTCTGCTCTCCCCAACTATTCCATCTTCCTCAGGATCCACTGATTTCCCTCTTTCCTATTGACTCTCTCTCTTTCTTAACATTTTTAATCACAATTGTCCATTTTTGCTCATTTTAAATATATTTTTAAACATTTTCTAAATGCTTTTTTATATTTTTACATTTCTTTTTGTTTTTGTGAAGCGCCTCGTGATTTTTATCTTGAGAGGCGCTATAGAAATGATACTTTCTTCTTCTTCTACTGGCACTTTAGGTCAAAGTAAAACGGATTTTGTGTGTGTCAGAATGAGAAATTGGTTTTTTAATCCCTTCCTGGGAGCAGACAGAAGAAAAACAGTATTTTGAGAAAGACCAAGAAAAACCTTCTTAAATCTGTTTCATGTGCTATAATCAATAACATTATGTTCTTCAAAACTCAATTTAATCAGATTTAATCTCCCCCCCCCCCCCTTGCTGTTGCTTCTGTAATTCCTAAAATAACCAGCAGAGGGGGCAAGACACCAATCATGACACGCAGACTGCTACACCCGGTCACGTGGTCGGGATTATTACACAACATGGATTTCCAATAATTTTGGCTCCACGGAAGGAGAAACCTTCATCAGCAAAATGAGTCAGAAAAACTAACATCTATCCAGTTTTATGAGTAACTGATGATGTCATATGTGGTTTCTGTTTCATTGAGACTTCCTTTAATGAAATCAACCATAACAATTATGGTTACAGGATATGTTTTGAATTCATTGGTAACAATTAGAGGAAACATTTGGATTGCTGAGCAGCGTTTAATTCAAACACAAAGGCATGAAGTCAAATAACTGAAGGCTACAAAGTAACAGCAACAGTCTGTGCAACAGAAATATTCTTCACATTTAAAACACAACGAAGTAATGACAATTTGGTAAAAATAATAAAAATAAAAGAAAGACATACACAAAGTCTGAGTATAATAAACACTGAATATATGGCGCCACTTGATGCCCAAGCTTGAGGGCAACATTCGAGTTAGTCAAAAACATGCAAATACAGAAATACAAAATAGGATAAATGATTATCCCTCACACACACACACACACACACACACACACACACACACACACACACACACACACACACACACACACACACACACACACACACACACACACACACACACACACACACACGAGGTAGAACATGATTTCAATCAACTGAAGGCATCTGTTCTTCATTTCAGCCAATGTCCAATAAACTAATTATTAAGACATGACAAAAGATTATAACCTAGTGATCCGCTGTCATCAGGCAGCTGCATAATAAATAAAGATATTTTCGTTTACATTGGCCGATATCATTGTCAAAGTCCCTTTAATATGACCGCTATCTCATGTTCTACCACGCATGTTTACATGTTAACAATCCCAAATAACATTTTAAAGCAGCCGATTAGTGATGGCAGCCGGTTTGGCACACATATCCGGGCTACATGTAGAAGAAACCAGCATCTAGAACGTCCATGGTGCTTATATGCTGGTCTGTAGCCCAACAGGAGGTCTGTCCGTCCCACTAGTGTACTTGGACTTCATGTGGCAGCAGCTGGCAGCCGCTGTTGACGTGCGTGAGAACTTTCTGTTTCAGCTGGGCCACTTGCTCCCTCAGCAGGCTGGCCGTGGAGGCCAGGTCGGTGTTCTGGGTTTTCAGCGTTTTCACCTTGTCCTCTAGCCTGGAGATCCGCTCCAGTTTGCGCCTCCGACACTTGGAGGCTGCAATCCGGTTTCGGAGCCTCTTCCTCTCGGCTTTGATGCGCTCCTGTGAGTCCATGTCGACGGGGGACAGCGGCGGGCTTTCCCCGAAGCTCTGCACGTCAGGGACGGTCTGAGGCTCCTCCTTCAGCGGCTGAACCCGAGAGAGCTCCTGCTGCAGCGGGGCTGCCCCCAAGTGATGCGACGGAGGCGGCGGGAACGGAACCGTGTCCGTGGAGTAGTTGACCGTGGTTCCCAGTGGCCCACTCCCGTAACTGTTCAGATTCGTGTAAACAGGTAGTTCCGGCTGTATGGTAACCGGGGCGATGTTAACACCAAGGTCCAGAGTGTTGTTGGTCTGCCCGGTTCCGTTCAGCTGGTTCTGCTTGTGTAGGTCTTCCAGCGCCTTCACGAAGCCCTCGGCGAACTCCTGCTCGTCCGTCACCGTTTTCGGGTAGATGAACTGGGAGCTGGTCGGCGTCGTGGTGACCATCCCATTGGACTGGATTATTAGCCTCTCCAGCTCCGGGGAGGCGAGCTTGAGCAGCCCCAGGTCCGGGGAGTTAAGGATGTTCTCGGCGTCACGAAGGTGCGGTTTGAGGTCAGCGTCGTCCGCCAGGCTCAAGCTGATGTCCTTCTTCATCATTATTTCCGTTTGAGAAAGGAAAAGGCTGCCGGTTCGACGCTACCTCAGAGCGGCGTCCTACCCATAACCCCAGAGAAAAGACCTGCGGCGGGAAATATCTGTTGTTATATTTCAGGTTTAATCTTCACTGCGCTCAGGTGACACCGCCTTGCTGCTTCTACGAAACTGAGGACTTGCTCGTGCGCACCGCCCCGAGCCTTTCTAGACTCTTACGTCCCTTTGTGGCACGTCAGAGCGCGCACATTGGGCAGAAATTACGTCCTCAGTAAAGGAAACAGGCTGAACAAAGAGGAGGCAACTGACAGGATGTCTCACTCGGCGCGTTTTGTCGGTACCCGAACAATAAATTACAGTTATCTGACTGTTTATGGATTTATTTTGTCTGGATTAGTTTTGCTTTTTATTATTATAACAGTTGGCATTGGCTACAACTTCAGTATTTCTAAAACGGTGTGATACTGTATGTCATCGAAATAAAAAAGACGTTTTAAAACTTTTGAAAAGTAAAAACATCCATTATTGTATAGCCAGAAAAGGCAGCTTTATTTTTGTAGCACATTTCACACACAGAGGCAATTCAGTGGGGTTTCCATTGGCAAGACTAGAATTAACATTAAAATCAACGTGACAGCACCATTTAAATACACAAATTCGTTTCAGATTAAAAAAAAGAAAAAGTTAAAAGGTGAACAGTTACAGTGCAGAAGGTGCAGCATGAAAACAGTCATAATAGTAAATATGAACATTATAATTAGGCCTACATTAACATGCAAACTTAAACCTTCTATTTGTCAAACTGAATTTAGACAGGCTATTCTACACCATCAACAATAAAACACAAACTAAACCAGCTTTTCTCTGCATTTCTTTTTAGTTAATGTTTGAGAAAAGTTATAATAAATATATTAACATTTCTTAATTTATTTATTTTTCATTTTTACCGACAGTTCCAGACATAGTTCAGCAAATTAAAATAAAATAACATAAAAAATGCCCTTTTTAAAGGATTAAGCTCAGCTTTTTGCAATAAGTCAAAATGAAAGAAAACATAAGACAAATGGTCTAAGTGTCTACCACACTATTTACAAAGTCCCTGGGCTTTTCCTTTTTACTGGATTGTTTTTCTTTGAAAAGAAGCCTCAACCACGAGTGGTCCTTTGGGGTTTACCCAAAACACACAACACTGTATTTACACGCATGTCCTTCCCTCTCTCAGTCCTAACATGTGACTTTAACTTTAGTTGTTTTTGTTTATGATGAGCTACTATGCAACCCAGAGCTAGAGTGTTTCCAAGGTCAAGAACGATTTTTTACTTCCTGCAGAGTTGTTCTTTTTTATTATAGAAGATCTTTGGCTATATTTCTGTTGCCAAGGAGAAGAGAAATAAAGACAAACACTGAGGAGTTACAATGATATTTGATGCCATGATGAGTTTTTTTTTACTTATAAAATCTGGAAAGTTTAAAACATGTTTTCATTGTCAGAAACTGAAACAACAACAAAAAAAAAGAACATTTAAATACAACTGGTCAACGAAATGAACTTGTGTGATGTTGCATTGCACAGAAAACTAATGCAAATAAAATTATAGACTGTTTAGCTTTGAAGCCCATGTTTTATAGTCAGAACTTAAAGATTTAATTAATATTTGCACAAGAGAAGCTGGTGTTGGAACTGAGCAACAGAAAATATAACACCTCTGTGTGGTCAAAGCTGACCCAGATAAGATAGATCACTTCTCCTTTCAGCCTCCAGTGTTTCTGGACTTCAGCGTTTGGGGAAGTTGTGTCTGAAACTTGGTTTGGTTTCAACCTTTCCTCTGGTCAGTCAGCAGGTTTTGGTTTTTGGCCTTGTTCTGTTTTCAGATTTAACTGTTTCTATTCATGACGCTTGTGCGTTTCATCTCAAGCATTTCCAGTCACATCTCTCGCTGCCTTACACCTTCATAAACACCATGGCTGCTTTCAGTAACAGAGAGTTTGCTCTCTAATCCTGCACCACATAAGCTTTGTACAAAGATTAAACGTTAAACATTTCCCTACCTTGACCACACTCATATTCACAAAGCAGCTACTGAATAAACCTTCACATAATCAAATGTGCTGGAACAATGCAGTTGCCTTCACTTCTTCTCCAGCCTGCGGAGGGTTACAGAGAGGAGGTTTATGCGTCACAGGTAGGCCCCATCCATCTGCAAAGCTGTGTGTGGGCGGATCACATGGTAGACCCTGTGATGTCACATCTCTTAACACGGGCAGAGATGGAGGTGGTAATGTGTGTCTGGGGGTGGGGTAACCAACAGAAGAGACATTTATGTCTAAAAGCTGTACATCAGTGTGGAGAGTGGGGTGCTGAGCCTGCAGGCGGTAGCTGGGAAAAAACATGCAGCTATCTTTGTCACATTCAACACCCAGTCTCTTTGTATTTCCTTTATGTACAACAGACAGAGGTTAGAAGTAAGACATCATTTCTGCGATTAATTTTTCATCCATATAATTCAATTTGACAAACTAATGATTAACCAGGATTAACCAACACGAAGCCTTCATCATGACCAAAATGACTCTATTAACAGGTGCTTTTAAAAGTAATAAAACTAGACAAATGTTGCTGGTTGTGTTTTTGAGCAACAGTTTATCAGGATTTCAAAAGCTTTTCTAATGTTTTTCTTTTATATTTGGTTGCTTTTATTCCCGTTTTTCCATTCGATGCCTGTAAAAAGTGTCGAGGAACGAAAAAGTGGAGGGCAAAAAATAAGTGTCTAATCCAAGAAAGACTTTTGAAAATCCTCAAGAAAAATTGCTCAAGCACACTTCTCTTTATTAAGTCTGGTTTCTTGGAATTAAACTGAAAAGAAATATGGAAGTGATGCAAAACTTTGCACAATGTAATAGCATCTCTTCATAAAACATTTGTGACTAGAAAACACAATTACACGGTTGTCAATGATGTGTTGTGACCGTGTCCCCCAGTTAGTACCTTGGTCAGTTAAGATCATGCTGGGATTCCCACCCTAGAAAACAGTTGGAGCAACGCATAGGCTACCTGTTTAGCAGTGATGTTTCTAAGAGGGAAAGCTTCTGGGTAACGCATGCTATAGTCACATATAACCAGGATAAAGCGATTCTCTGCTTGGGTTCCCTCAAGGGGTCCTACGATATCCATACCTATTCTTTTAAAGGAGACATCAATAATAGGCAGGGGTTGCAGGGGATACCTGGGAACATTCTTTCCTCCTGACAACTGGCACACTGGACATGACTGGCAATACTGCTGCACCTCCTTCTGAATGTCTGGCCAGTAAAACCTATTTGAGATTCTATCAAAAGTCTTCTTGAAACCCAGGTGCACTGCCCATGGAATACAGTGCCCCACCTTTAAAACTTGTTCCCTAAGCATTTTAGGTACCACTAGTTTTTCTGACCCTGTTCCTCTAGATTTGTGAAAAAGCACCCCATCTGTAAGAACTTATCCTTCTCCATTGGGATGTGCATTATCCTCCTCTGTAATTGATACTGCCTGTTCAAAAAACTGTGTAGTGATTCATCCTGATTTTGCAACTGATTGAAGTCCACTGGTTCATCCCACCTCTGCCACCAACTGTAAGGTTTGGGGCTCAGACAGAGCCCCTGCCTTGTCACTCACTCAGGATATTACCAGCTGTTAGTCAACAGAAGAAAACGCAAGAGTCAGGGATGTTGCAGAGCTCTGACGTTTTATCTTTTTTTTTTTTATGCAAACAATCCATGACATTGGGGCATGGATTCCCCCCAAGCGATCAACCAACCAACAACCGTGCCAAATCCATCTGGCCTTTTCAAGCTACCTTAGAACCAACCATTATGACATGGGCAGGGGAAACAATTGAAATCTTACAATCAATAATGTACATCTCCACAAAATATTTCAAACAATCTATTTACATATTTACCTCCTACCTTTACTCAAAAGAACAAAAACAACAACAACAACTACACAAACAAACACAAGATACCCCCTCCCCCCCCTCTCTTCAGTCAGTTAGTTTCTCCCTCAGTAGAGCTGATTAAGCACACCAGGAACTGATCGTGGCTGCCTTTGGGCGCGCTTCCATGGCAATACTTGACCTCAGAAGGAAAGGAGTGATGATCACCAATAAATCAACTTAACTTAAAGTAATTTATAGATTACCAAGCTTATTTGACCTAAAACACACACAGAAATACAGGATTAAACAGAAACAAGAGACATAACTATTAGTGAGGAGATACATCCCTCACAGACTCAAAGAAGAAAGAAGGAAGATGAATGGTCTACTCTGGAGGTAAGAAAATCCCCCCCCCCCCCCCCCCACCTACTTAAATTATATTCATAATTAAAAAGTTTAAACATAAACAAAATAAACATAAACTAAAAGTACTGTTTAAGTAGTACTGTTGGCTTTTAGTGACCACTCTTAACTGTTGTTTTATTATGTGTGCAGTGTTTGGCTATGGGTAGCCCTTGGATCATTAAACAAATAAAGCTGCTGATGATGATAGCAACCCTCAGGTTTCTAACATCAATCATTGATGCGTACTAGAACCAACATACAACTGGCAGCATGCAACGAGTCAAATTTCTACCAAATTCTTTCCTAACCCTCTGGAGGCAGGCATTGCAGATCTGCAACAGTTAAAACCTACCTACCTGGTTACTCCACATACATAATTCATGAGCATCTTTTTACTCAGAAGTACCGCTGTAGGACTTAGTTGTTCGTCCTTTTACCAAAACTTAATTTCAGCCTGAGAGGGTTAATAAGTCATCTTGATTTTTGGAGCATTAGGAATGTGGTGATATTTGTCATCTTGAACTGTGTATTAGGTTTTCATGTTCAGACTAGTTGTGATGAGCAGTAAGGAATGTTTGGCCTGAAGTAGAATGATTCAGCTTCTATTGTACTCTAAGGAATTTGTAGCTTCCAAATGTGTTGAGCAACAAGTGTCTGATGTGCTTCTTGTGTCTGAAACACAATTAAAACCTTTAGAAGAAGATATGATTCTATAAGTCTCATAATGGAGTTTCTAATAGAAGCTTTAAAATAAAATGAAACTCATTTATGTATTTTTTCTATCTAGATCCTCCAAAGTGGACCATTTTGTTCTTGGTCAGCAGCACTCTAGCACTTGAACAGTTTGTGTGTGACTTCTGAGGGCACGTGTAACTCAAAATAAAACTGAAACTTTAGCTTAGATCTTATTTCCTTTGCAGCCTCACCTTTTGCACACATTCATTGTGGGTCAGAGTATTGTTTCTTCAGCACGTGTGGTTGCCTTGTGTGTATTTTGGTTGTAATATTGATGATGATTCAGATGCATCTGCATACAAACCAACAAATCTGACACATAATCTCGTCAGACACCTTTCTCATGAAGCTGATCG